AAATTAAGTAAAAATTTAAGACAACTCACTACTAAAGCCAATAGACACAAAAAAAAATTCAAAAAATAAAATTACTGTCAACCCCCAGTTGTTCAAATATTAGATGCAATAACACAATTATTAAAAGTTGGACGAAAAGATTGTTTTGCTATGTATTGGTATTGAGTCTTTAAACTATTTGCTAGACCAAAATCCACATAAATTTTGTTAAATTCAGCATTAAAATCTCCTATATCCTTAACTTTCTCAAATGATTATTTCCCTTTTCTCAAATTTCCATATTAAACTAAACTAATAAGTGTGTTATCAATGCAAAAATGAGAAAATGAACAAAAACACCCAAACATTCTATCAAAACAACCCACCAATCTCCATAACAGCTTATAAATATTTGTTTTAAGATATTGGCTTTTAATGTCCCTAAATGATTAGCAAAGGAATGAAAAACAAACATACAATCTTAAATTAATGAGTTAGAAAACTCTAGTATGTATAAAGAATAACTTAATGAGTTAGAAAACTCTGGTATGAAAAACAAACAAACATAAGTATGTATACTTATTATCTTAACATAGTTTTTCCTTTTTTTAAGACATTAAATATAATAAATTTTTAGCAATTTAACAAATGAGATCAACAATCAACTTGTATATCCAGTGCATTTAACAATTAATTACATTTATTAATTAAATGGTAATTCTTTTTTTTTTCATTCACGAGTATCAATTTTTTATTATATCTTGATTAAAAACTTAATTTCTAATATTAAAAACCAAGATAATGATTTCTTCAATTAAAAAACATAAATATATTTAAATAAATAAGTAACCCAAATTGCATGTGTACATTTATATGATATAGGATTAATGAATTGCTTTAAATTATCTTAAATTTTTTTTTTCTTTTGACAATCGAAGGTCTTAATTATAACCAAGTTTAATTATTTCAAAAAGCATCTACCGAGAAATTTTTTAATTTTCAGCTTCAGTTTTTCAGCTTTTATTTTTTAATATTAGTAACTATGCAAATTAAGCAAAAATTTTGGAAAACTTACTACTAAAGCCAATAGATGCAAAAAAAATCAAAAACTAAAATCATTCCCGACCCCCGAGTTGTTCGAATACTAGATGTAACAGTGCAATTATTAAACGTTGGAAAAAAGGACCGTTTTAACATGTATTGATATTGACTATTTAAACTCTTTACTAGACCAAAATCTACCAAGATTTTGTTAAATTTAGTATCGAAATGACCTACATCCCTAACTTTTCTTAAGCAATTCTTTGTCTTTTCTCAAATTTTCGTGTTAAATTAAATTAATAGGGTTGTTATCAATGCAAACGAGAAGGTGAACAAAAATAAAGTTTTAACACTTAAGCATCCTATCAAAACAAATCACTCATTTTCATAACGGCTCATAAATATTAGTCTTAAGATTTTGATTACTAATGTTCCTAAATAATTAGTAAACGAATGAAAAACAAACATAGAATCTTAACTTAATAAGTTAGGAAACTCTAGTATGTATAGAGGAATGACCTTATTATATAAGCCAAAAAGGAGAAAATGAAAAGAAAGTAAAAAGAAGAATAAAAGAAAAATAAAACAAACTTAAGTTGATGAATTGCTTGTTCCGTGCATATTGTGTGCTTATAGATATTTGATATCTTAACATAATTTTTTTAAGACATCATTTTAAGAAATGTGGAGAAACTTTTTAACTTTCAGCTTTAGTTTTTCAGCTTTTATTTTTAGATATCGATAACTGTGCAAATTAAACAAAAATTTAAAACAACTCACTACTAAAGCCAATAGACACAAAAAATATGTCCAGAAAATAAAATTACTGTCGGCCCTCAATTGTTGAAATATTAGATACAATAATACAATTATTAAAAGTTGGACCGAATAACCGCTTTACTATGTATTGGTATTGACTCTTTAAAATCTTTGCTAGACCAAAATTTAAACAGATTTTGTGAAATTAAGCATCAACATTTCTTATATTCTTAATTTTCTTAAATGTTTCTTTCCCTTTTCTCAAATTTCCATATTAAACTAAACTAATGAGGGTGCTATAAGTGCAAAATAAGAAGATGAACAAAAATAAAGCTGGAACACTTAAGCATCCTATTAAAACAACTCACCAATCTTCATAATCGCTTATAAATAGTTGTTCTAAGATGTTGGTTACTAATGTCTCTAAATAATTAGCAAAAGAATGAAAAACAAACATACGATCTTGACTTAATGAGTCAGGACACTCTAGTATGAATAAAGGATGACATAACTACAAAAGTAAAAAAAGAGAGACTGAAAAGAAAGTAAAAAAGAGAAAAGAAAAGAAAAATAAGGCAAACTTAAATTGATGAATTGCTTATTTTGTGCATATTATGTGCTTATATATATTTACTATCTTAACATAATTTTTTCCTTATTTTAAGACATCAAATATAATAAATTTTTAACAATTTAACAGACGTGATCACAATTAATGAGATTAACAATCAACTTATATATCTAGTGCGTTTAACAATTAATTACATTCGTTGATTAAATGGTGATTCTTACTTTTTCTCCATTTACAAGTATCTCATTTTCTGTTATATCTCGATAAAAAACTTAATTTCTAATATCAAAAACGAAGATAATGATCTCTTCAATTTAAAAAATAGAAATATATTTAAATAAATAATTAACCCAAATTTCATGTTTATGTATATATAATATAGAATTGATGAATTGCTTAAAATATCAACTTTAACAAATTTTTTTCATTTTTTGAAAATCAAAAGTCTTAATTTTAACCAAGTTTAATCATTTTAAGAAGCATCCATCTAGAAACTTTTCAACTTTTAACTTCAGTTTCAACCTTTTCTTTTGGATATTGTTAAGTGTGTAAAATAACTTGAAACAGTGTTACTTGCAACTTATTAGTAGACACAAAAATAATTAGAAACAAAAATATACTAAAACATATCTAAAACAGATAATAAATTTTTAACAAAAGAAAACAACCTTTTGAGTAGGAGGTGTTGCATCTTGAGATATTGAAACTAACTTTGTTTTCTTTTTTTTTTTAGCTATTTTAATTGATATAATAAAATCTAATCAAAGAAACAGAGACTTAAAAGAAAGTAAAAAGGAGAAGAAAAGGGAAATAAGATAAATTTAAATTTATGAATTATTTATTTTGTGCATATTGTGTATATATATATATATAAGATAATAAATTGTTAGATATCTATTTTGTCATATTTTTCTTTCTTTTAGACATAAGATGCAATAAATTTGAAGGGATACAAACATGATCACAAAAAATGAGATCAAAAATCAATTTGGATATTTTTATCAATATACAGGTATAAGTATAACTACATCTATTGGGTCAATGATAATGCTTCTTCATTCACGAATATTTCATTTTCTATTATATCTCCATGAAAAACCCAATTCCTCATATAAGAAATCAACATGAAAAAAACATAAGTTGATAAATTGTTTATTTGGTGAATTTTCTGTGATTATATATATATATATATCGTTCAATCAATGATTTAACATGAAACCAACATGAAAACAACTTAAGTTTGAAGTCGGAGAAGAAATCAGTGGTAGCCAGAAGCTCAGCTGAAGCAAAATATTATTCAATGGCCTTGACATGTTGTGAAATCATGTGGTTGAAGCCATCCATTGTCAGACTTTGGAGTTAATCATGAAGATGCATTAGTACTTTATTCTCGAAATCTAGTAAAATTCTAATCTTTTATGAGAGGGCTGAGCACATCAAAATGGATTACTAGTAGCCATAATTAAACCAATGCATGTCTCCACCAATTTTCAATTGACTGGCATGTTCACCAAAGCTTTACAATCAAGACAGTTTCATAATTTGTTAAGCAAGATGAATGTTTACAATGTTTAGACTTCCTCTGGGAAGTATTGGATGGGTTGAAGCTGAATAAACCCAGATTCTATGTGAATTGGTATGTATCATACTGAAGAACATCATATTAAAGATTATCCAAGTCGAAGAAGAACGAAACAAGCTTGAGCATAAAGGTGCACTGAACACACCGTTTCAATAAAGTCAAGAAGAAATGGCTTAAGAAATCGATACATCATTTCATTATTTATAATTGTTTTTAAAATTCTATTAAGTTAGTTAAACTGTAATTATATCATTTTTCCCTCTCCTACTGTACTTTAAACACATGTATATAATGCTCTTTACTAAGCCTTGATTCAATGAGAAATTCTTGACACTTTCTCAGTCTGTCTACGCTTTTAATTTTTTTTTCTTTCATATTCACTATTTGTCAAATCATTAAAATTACTTTGATTTCTACTAATCATTTCAATAACAAACAAAGTGTTTAGTCAAGCACACATCATGTTGTACATTAAGGAACAATTAAATTGGCATAAGCAACTTTATTGGTTCACTTCTTCTTTTCTTCTATTTTAGGACATTGATCAACATTAAGAATTTGACCGTTTACCATTGAAGTGCATAAGTTTTCCATCTTGTAATTGGAAGCGTTCTAAGTTTCTACAAATATGCCTTTTAAGACCGACTTAATTGTGTCTATCATAGACATATTTATATTAATTAGAGTAACCAATGCCATATCTCTTCAACTGCAAAGCTTATTTCAGATAAATGGCCGTCAAGTTTTAACTGTCAGCCTAATAATTGACTCTGAACATTCTCAAGCTCCCTGCAATTCAATGCCTCTAATAAACCAGGAACACAGGGCTGAGGCTTTTGAAACCAAAATAAACCCCCAGCTTCCACCAACATGATGCCCATGTCCACATTATCTAATCAACTACCAAATGATAAAATAATAGTAGATATTATTCACTTATCTCAAAATTAAAGTAACACAAGATATCTTCAAATCTGTACTCTCCACCCAGAGCAAAAGTATACTATATAACAAATAGTAAAAATTAAGTTTCATTTCGTATCAACCAGAACCATCATCAAGCTGTTCTCAAGCAACAAATACTCTTCTTTTTTTTCTTCTCTTTGTTGGGTAAAGGTTTTTCCCACTTGTCTTGTTATAGGGAGAACAAAGTTGTATTCAAAATTTTTCCTCCGAAAAAAATTTTAATACATATTTCATAAAAATGTTAATAGAAGCCACTTTTCTCTCTTTTCTTTACAGTTATTTGAGAGCCAAAGAGAATCCTCTGAAAAATAATCATCTTCAGCTTCGATGGTAACTGCTTCCTCACGATACCAAGGCAGGAGGGCACCTACCAATAAAAACCCCAATTGCAGATAAAGAAAATGGAAAAGCAGATTGCACAGAGTAATTAACAAAATCTTCGAGGAGCCTAAATACAGCTCATAAATATCGCTGCAGCCAAAACACATCACCGCAAAAGATGCTTGGATATGGATATGTAGGTTTTTCTTATTCATTGTGTTGGAATTCAAGATCAAGTTTCCTCTTCAAGTGAGATCTATCAGCACTGCATAAGAACGGTTAAAGAATCAACTCAGTATTTTCTTTTTCTTGTTTTCAAGTGCAACAAGACTTATTTATAACAAACCTCGCATATTCTAACATATGTAACTTCAGAAGTGGACGCTAAAACCTTTTTCTTCCCACTCCCCCATCTTTTTACCTTTCCCACCCTAACGAAGAAGAAGAAAAAGGAACCAGGTAGACACTAAATTTCATCTTGGACATGCTTTATAAAGAATCCAATCTAGATATAGCATGTTAAGTGGCAATGACTAAAACCATCACAACTGTAAAATTCAACAAACATCTAAAATGAGAAGATGCTGATCACAAGCACACCCATATCAGACAGTCAAACTAAAGAAATTGTATCTTCGATTAGATCTTTTAAGGTAATATATTTTCATTTCAAAGCTTTATTATCTTATACATTTCGAATAATCATTTGGAATATTTAGCTTGAATTTCTGCAATGTTGAAAATGATCATAACTCGTACCTAATAATCTAATATGATAATGCCACCTTGTAGAACAGAATTCAAAATAAATTTCCAAAAGGAACAAAAGGGAAAGAGAAATGGCAAACATTCAAGTGTTTGATTATTTCTAATAAGAGCTTAAAAAGGAATGATATAGGGAATTAGAGAAAGTTTAACAGAAAAGTCAAAAAATTTAAACACAACCAAATTCTGTTATATAAATATTTCAATTGATTTACTATATTAAATATGACATCGTAAGACTTTAAATAAACTCCCCATCCTTGAGCACTGTCTTCGTCCAAACCTACCTCTACCTCAAACCAGAAAAATGACAATTCCAACAATAAAAGTCACGGCTTGTCCAACTCTAAGTGGGGACATGTACAATAAATAATCTAGTGAGCATTATTATGCACAAAAAAAATGCCAAAAAGAACAAATTTCTTATATACTGGTAACACAAGAATAAAAATAGGTGCAATACCAACACAAATACACAGACAAAGACCCCATAAAGATGACAAGTGAACAGGTAAATGACAAAGTAGAGGTCCCAACTAACTCCAATAATGCACATCCAAGCTAATCCAACACCCCTGCTAATCCACACCCCTGAAGGTCATGCTCCTTGTACTAGATTGTCTAAATCGGGGACTTAAAAGGGCAGATACACCAAAGCACAAATTCTAAATTTTCTTGATTGTATACAACATGAACCCAAGTCAGGAAAATTTAATGATGCGTACATAAAACTTAACTATAATAATTTTAGAAAATTAAAAAAAAAAGAAAGAAAAATCTATTATATGCAACTGTGCAACATTGATTTGGAAACTTATTACTTACTTATATTTGGACCCAAGGACTCAATTAAACTTTACCAGAAATACACCAAAAACAACAACTTTCTTATATAATGGTAACATGAGAATAAAAGTAGGTGCAATACCAATACAAATACGCCCATAAAGATGACAAGCAGACAGGGTAAATGACAAAGTAGAGGTCCCAACTAACTCCAATAATGCACATCCAAGCGAATCCAACACCCCTGCTAATCCACACCCCTAAAGATCATACTCCTTGTGCTAGATTGTCTAAATCGAGACTTGAAATGGCAGATACACCAAAGCACAATTCTGAATTTTCTTGATTGTACACAACATGAAACCAAGTCAGGAAAATTTAATGATGAGTACATAAAAATTAACTATAATAATTTTAGGAAAAAAAGAAAGAAAAATCTATTATATGCAACTGTGCAACATTGATTTGCAAACTTATTAATTACTTATATTTAGACCCAAGGACTCAATAAACCTTTAAATATTTTGAATATGGGCAAGATTTACCAGAAACACCAGATTAACTGTACGTTTTAAGTCGATATTGACAAGGACTAATGCCGTTTACTTGAGCCTCATTACCTTGTATTTATTCTAGTAGTATATGAGGGAAAGTTAATTCAACAATGATAAAGGATTAGTCAAATACAATGTAGATACAACATGGGCAATCTTCAAAACTTACAATACAGCAAGAAAGGGATTTGTTAATTAATTATTCCATTTTTCCTTAATGCCTTCCCTTGGACAATATCTTACAATCAGAAATTTCAAAAAGATTGTTGTAAAAACAAAAGTAGAAACTTTTATAAAACCTCATCCAATGCCATTTAAGAATCTTGTTCTTATTTCTTAATCTATTTATAAAGAGTTATATGTTAAGATTCAACATGTCCATATAACATATTTAGAAGTATCTGAGAAGTACTAGACATGCCTTCAAAGGTTCTACATTCATTCATAAAAAATTCGATCATGAATGTATCAATGCAGTGTGACTATCTTATCTGATACGAAGGCATTTGTTACAACCAGCTTATTGTAATATCTAGCAAATTGAAGTACGAGAATACTATTCTTGGTACTTTTTGCAAGCATTGTTTGATGAAACAAAGTCATTGTAAAGTATACTCTTATATAATTGAGACTAGCATGAAAGATTAAGTTGCATCATTTTATTAATTATATAGATATCATAATAATAGTGGGCAGTTATAATCTCCCCATTTATCATCACAATTATTACAAAAAGAGGACAATAACAAATATGTCCATTTCAGAATATTCTCATGTACAAAATTATAACCGTTTAGGCATAACCAAATAATAGCAAATACGTAATTAAACAAATCAGATTTCAAACACAAAAGTTAAAATAAGCAAGCCCTCCATCATGGTGCCAGCTCCCTTCCATTGAATTTTACATCCAATAAATTTCAGTACATGTTTGGAAGAATGCCACCCGGTCTTTTAATTTTAAATGGTATAAGATTGCTCTAGAGTTTTGAAACTGTCAACTAGTGCACTATCAATGTGAACTGTCATTACATCCATGAAGATTAGCACCACTGGTTCTTTCATTTTTTTTTTTCAAAGACAAAATTAGTATTACTATTATGTCCTTGAAGGTGCAAAAAGCAACAGATCACTACTTGCCTTTTGATAATGGAAAATGTATAATTATGTTTGACATAGACAAATGAAAATTTTAATTAATCTTATTATATGAAAGTAAATCTGCTCCTCAGAGATGCTGCAAATATTCTTTAACAAAAGTTTTATTGGATAAATTAAATCGTTAGAATTTAGTGTTGTACCATTTCAAAGCAACTGAACTCCAAACTTGAAAAAGAAAACAAAAGCCTCTTAATCTAACCCTAAGAAACCCCGTTGATCCAACATCTTGAGTACCATAAAAACCCAAATTTTACAATAACCCTCATTTGGAATTATAGAAAACGCTTTGTCTGCATAAAAGAGCATGGCACAAAATGCTTGAATTGAAATAACAACTCCAATCAGAAAATTTTCAGAGAAAACTAAAGAGTTTTTTCCAAAGATTAAGAGGGTTGTTGCCGATAAATTTAAAAATAAGCCAAGATGATTGTTTGTTACAAGTAAGATTCAATTTTAAGAACAGTGGAAAAGAACCTTCAAGTCCAAACCCATTGCATCATACTAAAAGCCCCCAAATTTCACCAAAATCAAACACAACAAACTTGAAAAAGAACACAGTGATATAGTAGAAGCTGGGTTGGTGGGGTTGACGAATGTAGATAAATGATACATCAAGCAAGGAAAATATAAGAGATTTTATGAAGGAGACAAGGAGAGAGAATTGAGCTGTTTATAAGAAGATGCAGAGTTAGAAGTATAATTAACAAACCAGATGAACTGTTAAAGTAACTTTCAATGGGTTAAAAGATAAATGTTCAAGCAGAAGCATCAGTTAACGACTTCACTACGAAATATAACAGTCAACAGACATATAGTCTTTTTAAGGAATTTCTACTGCTCAAAGTAAAAAGACCATGTGGCATTCATCCAAACATGTATTGGAAATTGCTGGATACCAAATTCAATGGAGGGAAGCCAAACCCCTGGCAAATGACCCGTAGAGTTTAATGCATCATGTACTTCTAAGCCTATTGCCTACTAAACCAAAAAAATAAAAAAGAGTACAAACCATTTGCTTAAGACTGCTAATCCACACTCAAATGACCCACTTTATGCCCTCCACAAAATCCAAACCTAAGAGGGGTTTTCTCCATCTTTACTGTACACCTTACCAAGCTCACAATATTTCACATGAAGCCACCACAACTCAAGAAGAATCTGAGCATTGCATAACCAAGGGATAAAAACAGTCATAAGAGCAACTTAAAAGATGATAAACCGATTTGGCTCCAACCTTAAACAAAAACATCTATTTCAAAGAAAAACTCTCTTACGAAGGTTACCAATGGTCAAATTCTTCTCAAGATGCTTCCCACAAAAAGATGGCTACCTTGATTGGGCTTTTGTCTTCTAAACAATTTGTAGGAAAACTTTCAAACCCTTGCATTGAGCTTTCCTTCTTTAATTCCTTCTAGAAAGATTTTACCCCAATAAAAAGGTGACAGCTTTGAGAAAAATCTCACTCCAAAGTTGAGCCTACCTTGGAAAGTACTTCTCTTTAGAAATTTACATAATTGAGAGCTTAAAGTTTTCTCCAACTTGTTGACTTGTTTAAGAACAAGGTTTGGACAATTGATCAAGAGGATAGCCCTAGATGATGACTTAACCCTTAAAGGCTTGATCTATGCTCAACCTATTTCAACAGGCCAACACCAAGCTCATCCTGAAGTTATCCATTATAGTATTGATACAAGGTTTAAAAATCCATTCTCAAGTTGTACCACTACATGTTGCAGATTTGAATCACTTCAAATGCTCTTGAGGAAATTATAAAGAATGAAAAACCATTATGAAATGACCAAACTAGGTATTGCCTTACCTATTAATTGTAGGTCTACTCAGAGGTTTTGAGCCAAAGATTGAAAAATCTATTGACATTGGCACCTGTTCATTCTTTCCTGCAATGTCACCAACTGCCTGTCTCTCACCAACATGCTCATCAATCTTCTCAGCTTGGTGAGAATTACCTTCAAACCTATCACGATCCGGCATTACTCTCCTTGACTTTCGTGGGGGAGAAAGAACAGTGGGACCCTCCTGGGGATTAAAATCTGACACTCGCAATTTAGGATTAGGCCTAGGGAGCTTTGGCGGATCTGTAGGTGGAGGTGCAGATGAAAAATACCTGAACAACAAAACAAACATGAGAGAAAAGGACCAAACACTCTCTATAGATTTCTAATTGAAAGGTTCAATCACCTGTGCTCTAATGCTTGCTGCACAGAAATCCTCACTTTTGGGTCATAAGTGAACATTTTTGATAAAAGATCTAGAGCATCATCACTGGCCATTGGAAACAATGAACGCAAAGAAGGTGCAGGAACATATTGGTATTCTACATAATCAGGAAGGTAGACCATATCTGGCCATTGAGAAGATGTTGGTGTCCCAAAAGCTGCAAAGATCTTTCCTAATTGATCAATGTCACTGGTGCCCTGTCAAATGTTAAATGTTGAACCAATGAAAATAAGAAAATATATCAGGAATGACACTTTATATTGAGGACACATAGGTACATAATTTAAAGGTCAAAGCTAAAAAGGACAAACCACATATGAGCTTGTCAAAATGACTACCTAAATAACATTTTCACATATAGGATGATAATAAAGTTCATCTAATGGCAATATTTGTCAGCAATCTCAATGACCTACAAATTGAATATTGCTTATAATCCAGTGCAACAAAAAATTATAGTCTAACGCTTTAACATTCAAAGGGGGAAAAGGCATCTCTAAGATATGCTTAGCATAAATCAATCAGAAAACAATAAAGGTACCAGAACCATGCAAACAAGAAGATTACTGATGGACATTCAAGAGTTCAATTTAGAAAAAGCTTTCACTGCTTATTCTAGCAGGAAGCAGCTCAAATCATTCTTAGAGTTCTATTTAGAAAAATCTTTCAAAGTTTATTCATAATTGCAACATTCTGATGTAGAACAACTATGCTAAAACTCAAAACCCTTAAGAAATAATCAGAATTCTGAACGAAATTGTCAAATGTCTCAAGAATTCAAATCTTAAATATTTGATATCACAATATCTTATTCACATGTGTAAGACATTTTGATGTAGAACAAGTATTCTAAAACTCAATACTCAAGAAATAATCTGAATTCTCAACAAAATCCTCAAATATCTCAATAATTCAAATCTTAAATATCTGAAATCTCAACATCTCACTAATTTATAAATCAAACCTACCAGAAACTAAAACAGCATAGGTATTTATAACTAAACTCAAAACCCTAATAAAATGAAAGATACCAAATATAACTCTTAAACCCTAATACTTTTAAAAGAAGTAAAACAGTAATTAGCATAAAATAATCTAAAATAGCTAAAAATATATGTAAAGACTACAATCAAATCCATAGACTATCAAATGAAGTCCTCGATAACTTAATCCCTCAACTAGCATATTTCCATCCTCCATCACATTCAATTTCTTAGAAGAAGAAAATCTTTTTCATAACAATATTCATGTTAACTTCACATAAATGGTCGTAGAGAACTACAATCATCATATTTGGAGATAGAGTTACGATGGAGTTAAGGCACAAGAAACAGTGAGAAATGTGCAACATAATGAATGAGGCATCTCGCAAGCTAGCTCAGAGATGTCATATTGTTGCACCCCATGTAGGACCAAGGATTTTGCTTTGTAAAACTAAAACCAAATGCTTATCATATATAGCCAAGCTACCAACAATCAGCATTAAAATGGCATCAATTAATCATCTATAAGCTTTGATTTGGTAAACCAAAATTGCAAAATCCATTCTGAACATGAATTTCATCACAATGATTTACTTTTTCTTTAAAAATTTGTAACATATCATAGTCAGCCCGAAAATAGACTGCATTATCTTTTATCTGCCGAAGACATGCAGTTCAATTGAGCATTGTTCAGGGGTTTAATAGTATGAACCTATTCTCATGTGATCCTTTTCCAATAATACTATGAATAAGCATGACAAAGTGAACAAGTGAACATTCTCAACCAAAAAGAGAACAAAGTCATCTACACTTGAATAAAAACCCAATAAGAAAACAAACAGTTACAGGTGACTATATTATAGCATTTTTGGTAAGAAATCATTATGGTTAAAACTTCATGATGGTGAGGATAGTTTCAACAAAGCAATATTATGAAAGCAGAAAGCCGAAAATGAGATCCAATCATCACAGCATTATTTTAGATATATATGTGTGTGTGTGTGTGTGTATATATATATATAAAAGCTACATAGAATACAGCAGGAATATAAAAACTGCAAAATGTAACTTGAAGAACCAAAAGACAATTATGCAAGTATCAAAACAAAATAAATCTAACTCTGAAGAACTCTTAACCACGACATGCTAGGTTCACCTGCAGAAATGGTCGTCGTAGGAGAAGTTCAGCAAATATACAGGCAGCCGCCCAAACATCCACACCAGAACCATATTGCTTGGTACCAAAAAGTAACTCAGGAGCTCTGTACCATCGAGCAAAGACCTATACATAATTCCATGGACTTATCAAGTAAGCTGAATCCAATATGATGGATTAACTTACAGCTTTCAATTAAATTGAGAAATGCAACACACAAAACAACAATCTAGAACCAACTGCAAAACAATACAATTTTTCAAAGAAAGGTCTCATAGATGTGCAAATATTAAAGAAAACAGGTCCCTAAATCAAATTATAATTCCAAGGAGCACAAAGAAAGGAATATATAGATTGGACAACAAATTATTTGATGTCATAGTGTCTCTCCATAAAATCAACTATATTTTGCATATCTGCTTTAATATACTACAATAACAACATCAATGACTAAAACAAAAAATACAATGAAATGATGGATATAAATATTACCATGGCATCATCAATAGGTTATAAGGCAGAATATCAATGGATATTTACTTGGAAACAGATGAATGTTTAGAGTACAAAACCAAGTGGCAGCTTAACTAATCAAGCCAAATTGTTGAAAACTAGAAGTTAATGTAAACAACAACAATATAAACCCTGTTTCTAAAATTTTCCCACAAAAACATAGTGATTCCAAAATGGGAATTTTGGCTGTGCGGATCAACTCAGTACAGTTACAGGTTAGTAAGTTAGTACCGCCACTAGGTAATCTTATTCCTACCAAGAAATACTACTTCAAGATATAAAAGGAATCCTATAAAATTATGGAGGATAAAAAGAAGATTTTACTCAAAGCACAACTTAGTCAGTGTACTGATACAACTAAAAACACCACTTGGCAGCAAGCCATACCTGGTGAGTAAACTTACGATCTGGGCTCCCAAAAATGCGTGCTAAACCAAAGTCTGCAAGTTTAAGTTGTCCATTGGGTCCTATTAGCAAATTATTTGGCTTCATATCCCTGTAAAGCACATTAACAAGTTAAGAAATTTAGGAAGCAGCAACCACAGAAAAACCGGACTAAGAGCAGACAGAAACAGGACCTATGTAAAACCCATTTCTTGTGGCAAAAAGCAAGCCCTTTCAACGTCATCTGAATGTACGATTTGATGTCAGCCGGTGAGAGGAATATATTACGATCTCGAATAACAGCTTCAAGGTCAGTCTCCATGAATTCAAACACCAGATGCAAGTTACCCTTATGTGGGAATGCATCTATTAACTCAATTATATTTGGATCTTTGAGCTCCTTAAGAAGTTTAATTTCTCTGAGTGCTGTAAAATTGATCCCTTCCTTTTGCTTCCCAAGCCGAATTTTCTTAATTGCAACTGTCTGCCCTGTCTATAATGGACCAAACAAGCAAACAATTAATACCATAACAGTTGAATAAACAATTCAGCCAACCCAAAATTTAGAAACTTTTTTTTTTCTTTTGTGATCAGTCCTGAAAATCACAGAGAAACTGCTGATAAGTTCATATAACTTGAGATGCCTTTCGGCCACGAAAAAGGAAATATTAACATTTTTTAATTGTGGCAACAAAAAGAAACATTTTTGACTGATTAAAACTTAAAATTGTAACTTCCTCGGGGAACAAAATGCAATGATTTAACTTTATACATTACAAATATGGTAGAATTACAATGTTTTAGCAAAACCCACATCCAAAGACAGTCTAGAATTTTGTTTAATTACTTGACGAAGTTGTTAAGTCACTAAGCTTCATCCAAAAACATTGTGATAATAAAGAAACTAAATTTTTTGATGCTCACAGTTTCCCAAAGAAAGAAAAAGTAAACGGATAATTTTGCATTCTTTCTTTCTGCTATGAATGACCTAATTATTCTCTTTCTGCCATCAAATTTCAAAAGCTTTAATTTTTTAGAAAGAAAGAAAGAAAGAGAGATAGGTTACCTTAGTATCAATAGCTTTGTAGACGACACCATAAGTGCCTTCACCAAGAACCTCGCGCTTCAAATACCTGTCGGCCACTTTCTTCGACGGATCCATTTCTGTCATTCTTTCTTTTTATTCTTTTGTTTATCTTCTTAAAAAATGCTTTTGTTTATCAGGATTTTCGCAGCACATAACCTTTTATTCTTCTCCAATTTCCCATTTCTGACCCCTCGCTTCCAATTCTCAAAACCCCAAAAAATATTAAAGTGAGAATTTTTCCGAGAGAAAAAATAGAAATGATCGGAAACGAAAATTACCAGGAAAAATTTAACTTCAAAAATTTAAGAAAAGAGCAAAAATTTGATTCAAAACACTTTAAGAGAAAAAAAAGACAGAAATTAATCTGGGTGAAGGCACTGCAACGGTGAAGAAAAGCTATGGCGAGAGCGGAGAAGGGAGTGCTAAAGAGAGATAAAATTATTGGGAAATTATTCTGAATCGGAGACGGTTTACAGAAAGAAAAGGTTAAAACACGGTTTGGGCCTTCTGGCCTGAAGCTTTTTTGGGCTTTTTGCCCTCCTTCATCGTAATGGATTGAGGATGGGACCTGTTGTCTTAAGCCCACATATCTGTTAAATGTAAAAACTATTTCATTTATAAATTTAAAACTTATTAATTTGATATTAATACGAGATTCGTTATACTTTATTATATTTTTATTTTTTTCAAAACATAATTATGAAAAAGTCTAAAAAATATTAAAGAATTTACATCTAATTTTATCTCAATTATTTTAATCAAAATAAATTTCTAAGTATTCTACCATAGCAATCAAATATTAATATGAAATAGAGCTGAGGTTAAAAAAAAAAAAAGACAAACCACCAATGAATCTTATAGTCATTAGTTATGCGATAACTCTGTTTCGAGATGTTAACAGATAAAGTAATCTTTTTTTTTAAATACTTTAACCTAAACCCTATTATTTGATAAAGTACTCGAATCTTGTAAATATTTGTTTTTTTTTTTTGAATTATTATCTGAACTCGTATTCAAATACCTTAGATATTACTAGTTGAATATGTAATTAAAATGAATTTAAAATAACTTTATGGACATATTATTAACTAAAATTAAATTAATAAATTAAGATTAGTTCATAAGTAAATAAATTAAAATTTACAATTATATTTAGAATAATCAATGACTCTTAATAAGTCTTCCATTAATTATAAAAAAATTTATAAATAAAAAATATATATATATAATTAAAATTAAATATTAAAAATTATTATTTATAATTAAATTCGGATAACGATATTGCTATTCCAACCTATTTACAAAATATTCTAATTTTAATTAATTAAAACAAATAATATATAAGATATTTAATTACTAAATATCCATTGTCATCCCAAAATTCCTGTTGTGATCACTTCTATCTTAATTCCGTAACATGTTTGTGCTTTCCAATTTTTTAACATTTCTCCTTCCCTGTCAGTTTCCCATTGTCTTTCAATTTCTCTTAAGGCCCTTTTGTCCTCCAAAAGTAATTGTTGTTTGACGATATTATTCCACCTAATACTAACAATTAGAACACTATTATACTGGGTCAAAATAGGCAGCAGCAAGTCACGTTCAGTAGTGACCTCAGGTGTTTTACTTCCTTCGAATTGGATTCCACACTTTTATTATATAATAAGTTAAAATATAATATATAAGAGTAATATTTGATACATTGATTATATATAATTTGTATATATTATCAAGTCATTAAATCATGACACATCATTATAAGATAAAAAAAATATTTGATGCATTGAAAGAAATAAAATATTGATATTAAAATTTGATGTCGTTTTAAGAATTTATAAACTTTTGATTTCTTCAAAATAATATAAGAGTGAGGATTTAGTGGTCTGATAGAGTATAAAAACTGTATATCTTTAATGCTTCAAGTATTAATCCAAATAATATCTACCTTTAACCTTATTAATAAGGTGTTAAAATTTAATCACTTAATTGTGTATAAAAAATTATACATTGTTGATACATTAAATATTAATTAATTAAATTATCATAAACCCAACCACTTTTAGATTCTTTAAGAAGACAAGGCGACATGGTTGGTTCTATGAATGTTCATTTCATTTCAAGAAGCCAAAACAAACAAACAAAACAAGAAAAGGTCAAAGGAAATTTAATTCATAAAAATTATTTTTCGTCCATGACATTGATTTTTTTTCTGCCTCCAATCCCATTGATTGTACAAGTCAAAATTGAACATTTCAACTCTTCAATTCATGTGAATGTTCAAATTGGATTAGATCCAGTAATCCCTCTCTATAAATACAAGCAAATAAGTTTCATTCTAGTCAGTACAGATTTGGGTTTAGTTTCTTCATTACATCAAAAAGAGAGAAACCCTGAATTTAGTGTGAGGTTCTACAGGTATTAATTGTTTTGGCATGGCTGAATTGAAACTCATAGCCTCTTCACTTAGCTGTTTCTGCACAAGGATTGAATGGGCTTTGAAGCTTAAAGGTGTGGAATATGAGTACCTTGAAGAAGATTTAAGAAACAAGAGTCCTCTTCTTCTTACCCACAACCCTGTCCATAAGAAAGTCCCTGTTCTCCTTCACAATGGTAAACCGATTGCTGAGTCACTCATCATTCTTGAATACACAGACGAGACATGGAAGGACAGTCCCTTGCTCCCTGAAGATCCATATGAGAAAGCCATGGCTCGCTTTTGGGCAAAATTTGGCGATGAAAAGGTACTTCATCAAGACCATTTGCCATTTAATTTCATTCTAGTTTTAAGTGGTGTTGTAGCTGTTTAATTCTTTGTTTTGGATTTCTTAATGAAATGCAGTGCTTGCTCGGGGCATTTGATGCTTGCCGTGCCGAAGGAGATGAAAAAGAAAAGTTTATAGAATCTGCAGTAGAGTCTTTTGCGTTTCTTGAGAAGCAGCTTGAAGGGAAGAAATATTTTGGAGGGGAACAGATAGGGTATCTGGATCTAGCCCTTGGTTGGATCCCTCATTGGCTCAATGTTATCGAAGAAGTTGGATGCATGAAGTTGGTTGACGCCCAGAGGACTCCACTGCTTCATCAATGGGGGCAGGAATTCATGGAAATTCCGCTGATCAAAGAATGCGTTCCACCTAGAGATAAGCTGCTTGACCGCTTCGCTGCTAGCATCATTTACCTGCGTTCCTTGGCAGCAAGCCAGCAATGAGTTCTTGTTTACATTCATGCGTTACTCCATGGCCAAGAACTAAATAATTGGAGATGTTTTGGTTTACGATTTGTTTCAGTTGTGTTCCAAACTACGTTTTTCAATATGTCACCTATAGCTGACAGCTATGGAGGGAAGCCCACTACCCAACTTTTGGTGTCAAGCTTAAAGGTGTGGAATAGTCAGTTCATATCAAAGAGTTGCTGTTTTTACTTTCTGAGTTCAATCATTTACTAACCACTTCAGGGCAGATCAACCATTGTCATTTTGGTATTTTCAGGAGTAGCATTTCACTTTGACACTAGGTAACAGAGGAATGCGACAAAAAAAAAAAAGCAGATGCAATATAGACAAGGTTGCTGCAAAAGGAAAAAGATAAAGAAAAATAAGCATATATAACAGAAGCTCATTCTCTGAGATCAATCTCATGTGAATGGTTATCTGATGGTAATATATTAAAGGGAAATAGTAATTGAAGATAATAGCACCGTTGAACCAAAAAAACCACTGATAAAACCTAGAAGAAAAGCAGAAAAAGTTTGAAAAACAATATGGTAGCTCAAAGCTTTTCTAGAGTATAGCAGAGGAAGCTGCTTGGTTGCTAATGAAGCAACTCAACTTTACTATGAAATGAAATTAGCATGTGATTTTCAAAATCAACTCATCTGAGACAGGGACTTTAGAGATATATTACATTTGGAATAGTTGGAGATCTAGTTAAGTACAGAGTGGAATATTTTTATCATTCTACTAGGAACACAATTTGGTGTATAATTCAGAGATTTCAAAGAAGTATTATGTAGTAACACGATGACACCGGCACCAAAATGCTGTTCCTCCGCTTCTGCCTCGAGCAACTGCTATTTCTTCATCAATATAAAACCAGATAAAGAAGGGGTCCTTCGTGCTTGGTTCTCTATCTTCTTTCTGGCCAAGACTGATCTCTAAAGGGTTAAAAGGTCCAATTTTGACTCGGATTTTCTCAAAGATGAAGGACAATATTCTGTTCTTCCATGAAAATTTTCCTTCAAAGGTTAAGAACCCAATTGGTCCTAGAAATACTCCATTCTCAATCCTCTTTGCCTAACAGTTCAAGCAATGAGTAATTAGTTTCTAAAGTTGACAAAAAGCAAAGGAACAGCTAGCTTAGTTTTCTACTTTTATTGGCACCATAAAAGCTGTGGAAAAGTTAATCACTGGTTCTGCAGCAGGTAAATCAAATCCAAATTCATCCTAAAGATATTTCTCACCATACAGAAATATCATATTTGATGAATCCATTGAATTCTATCAACTATGAGCACGAATGACCATCTTAAACAAGAAATTTCAGCAAAAACTACAAACTTCGATTAAAAGCCTCTTTATAATATATGAATTTTCCCCCCAACCTTAAAAATTATTCCAATACAAGTAATGCAACAGTTTCCAAAAAATTTCAGACATGTTGTACTGAAGGGAACTAATCCGACCATATAATACATGATTTGAATCAGCTAAACAAATCAGAGCATAATTCTAAACTAAACACTGTATACTTGTAAAATAAACTGTAAGAAAGGTTTCGAAAAGATATCCAAAACACACTTTCAATCATATTTGCAAATCCTTTCCAGGAGGCATTATGCACATGCAACCAGATGTAAAATCTTTGTTGACAGCTTTTTCTCTTTTTTATTAACAGAGAACTGGACTCAGTTCTACAATTCCTAATTCTTGAATCCTATACCACCCCTAGGGAAGATGTCCAGCATTGGAACTTCAAACTATTTAGAAGTGGCTAGAAAACCAGCTGGAAAACGCCTTTAGCTTTCAATATTTCACTTTTACTTTTGTTATTCACTTGAAGCAGCCGAAACTTTTAATCACATTGAGAAGAGATTAAGGAGCTTACCGCAGCATCGAACCTCTGAACAGCTGTAAGAGGGAAGTAGCGGCCGCCCTTCAGTTGTTTCTACAAACCCAAATTAAAGAAGCTTAACAGCATTGAGGTAATCATTCAACAGAAAGCCACAAGCTTATCTAAAACGAAGATGAGAATCATACGAAACCTCAGCAGTAAAAATGAGCATCCAGGTTCTGCCAGGGGAATCCGATCCACCAAGAGTTTCAAGAAACCCTGAGGGGTTGAGTTTGGCCTTTTCAATAACAGAAAAAGCTGACAGAACTTCCTCAGCAGGGACTTTCCTCGTTTTGGCTGCATTTTTCAAAATTTTGACGCTCTCCTCAACTTCCTATTATATATTATATACACAATGAAAAGATGACAGGTTATGAAAATCAATGCATTCTCTAGTAACCAATCCATTGAATGAAAGGAAAAACGTACTCTGCTTGGCTCCTGCTCTTGGACAATGAATGGCTCCTTCTCCTTCTCATCAAGGGTAGCTCGGGTCCTTGCCTTGAGGAATTTGGCAGAATTGAGACAAGGAATGTGTGGCTTAAAAGAGTTGACATGCTTAAGAGGGAGTAGGAAGGGTCTCAGAGATGATAATTGAGAGGAAGACGAATTGGAATAAATATGGCAGATTAAGGGCGAGAGAAAAGAGGATGATGGTAGTGCTTGGAAGCCCATTTTGCCAGGTGACAGCTTGCTGTGGGTCTTCCTTTCAGGAAGTAGAGGTGCCCATTTTTTCTGCTTTCCTCTAGGTTCTTTTGGATGTTTGCCCTTTTCTCTAAATTACATATCCATCCTCAAACGTTACTTTCAACTACAAACTAGTACAAATGAGAAAAAAAAATTTTCACAAATGGTCGCCAACGTTTCATTATTTTTCATTTTGATCACCGTACTTCAATTTATCTCAATTAAATCACAAATTATTATTTTTTTTTGAAGCAAATGAACAGAGTTGATTTCATGTCATTAGGTGCTTGGATTTCATTGAGGAATTTTTATAAACACAAGACACATATTTATTTAAACATGAAAATCACAGCATTTGATTCACAAAGGCACACCTGGTAGCACTAACTCGAGTTCTATAATTTGTACATTCAACCTAGCAAACATATATATAAAACGGTTGCAAAGCTAATCATGCATAAAGCAACCTATTTGCTGTCAAAATAGAACAAATCCAGCACAAGCTACAACTCGCCAGAAAATGTAACTGTGTAGGTGGCGGACCAAGAGTTCGACTTACACAAGGAGAGTCGGGGGTGACTCTCTCGCCTGTATATTGCCTCTCTCTTATCAGAAGTAATAGAATCCCCAGAGTTAGATCCACCTGAAGAGCACGTTTGTTCAATTTATGCCCCTCAAACGATTAATTTAGTACGATTTGAAGTTTAGGAGAATGAATCCGACGTCTTGTCTGGGCCATTTAGGCTTGTTTGGATGACCGAACTGCCTTTCTTGAGAATTTCTTTTGCTTTGAAGAAGAGGGAATTTTCTGAATTCCGAATATGGAGAAATGTGAAATATGAGGGAATATTTACAGCGGAAATCAAATACAGCAAAGAAGACCTGAAGTGGTAGAGAAATGCTCATGTTTTTTGCCTTAAAATACGAAATAGTATAAAATCTTTGAATATTCTGTCTTTAAAGACGAAATAAAAGAGGATCTCAGGTTCAAATTGATCCTTTATCAGTCCCCCCATGGCAGCCCTGATGTGGGATAGGAATAACTCAGCTCTGCTAACCGTTCTGTAAGCCTGAACACGGGGTAAGACCTCCTTTCTCTCAATTCTGAAACATCCATTTCCTTTCGCTACCGCTTCCACTTCTTGGGCCCTGGCATCCAGAAAACTCTTCATATCCCTAACATGTTCAGCTGCGTAAGCCTTAATATCATCATCTGAAGCTTCCGGGTAATGGATCATTCCCTTATAATTCCAAGCTGGAGGGTTACTATCCACTGCCTCCTTTCCTTTGCTACTTTAGGAAGCCAGGCATAGAAACAGTTGACAATGTGCAGAGAAGCTCCGGGAAACAAGTGACCGTGGAAAGAACCTGGCAGACGAGCAGCATAGTATAATGTCTGTTAGGAAGGAGGGATGTGAAGAGTGTGTTGAAATCATTGCAATTGTGATCATTGAAGAAAACTTGAAATTCAGGAAGCTGAGAAACTGAGTCCTTGGATATGATACTTTAGCTCCACGGCTTCAATTAGGTTCTGCACTGCAGTGAATGTGTTAGGCCCAACAGACAGAGCAACCCAAATCTGCAATACTAAGGGTATTTTGAAGAAGAAATAACTCCAATGTCAAGCTTCTCTGAAATTGCTTCTATAACAAGTTCCTTGGCTGTATCTACAATTCCTTTCTGCAAAAAAAAAAAAAAGGGTTTAACTGAAAGTATTCTTTAGATGATCATTTCTAATGCTATCGTCATCATTTCGTCTGAAATCATATTATCCCTAATTGTCATGGTTCAACATGTAACCTCTGGGCTTTCTTCCCTGCCCTAACTAGATTTATTTATTCCAGTGACTTCCCATGTCTTCAATGGCAGAGCTGCCCCTTGACCTAATGAAGGACGATCAGGCAACAAATTATACTAATATTTAGCAATAGAAATAGAAGGAGTACCTGGTATGAAGAATTCTTTATATATCTAAAGACACCAACTCCACCATTCATGGGATATGCCTGCTCATCTCTTCTTCTGCCATATCTTCCACGATCCCCATCTTTCAGTGAAGTGCCAATTTATTCCCTCCCTTGGCTCTTCTCACCTGATCAAGACTCTTATGAAATGCCCTTAGATTGATTTAACAAATCATTTGCCTTTCTTTAGGAGCAAGTCCTTGTTAGTAGTGTAATAAAATATTTAAAACATGAAGCAAAGTAGACCTACCTAATGTATTGTCTACATTTCTTGCTGATCCACTTTCTGTCAAAATATTTAGTAACCAAATCCAACAAGGCAGCCAAAAGTTGGTATACAGTGATAAAAAAAAAAACAACTGAAACTATGTTTCTAATCTTTTAAATACTATGTCATTTATCTTTCTTAGGTATAAAGGAATTATAGCTCTTATACTTCAACATCAAATTTTGTTATTGTTCTTCAATTGGGTTTAATTATGCCCATCAATCTTTTATTTTTAATTATTCAATTTTTTAACTTAAAATAAAAAAAACAATTGAAAGAGAATATCTCGTGAAAAAAATAATATATATGTATATATATATATATATAATATGGTAAAAGAATTTGAAATATGTGATACCCCTCAGTTCTATGTTAGAGTCCATATCATAGACTTTGTAATAGCAGTCTCCGACGATGTCGGTTCTTCCTTAAAAAGACTCGTGGACTATCATCATCGGGGAGTGGACATGAAAATAAGAGGTAAAAATACATATTACTATAAATTAATTAATTTTAAAACTATTTTCATTATTATTAATTTTAATTTTAATTTTAATTTTAATTTAATTATATATATTGACATATTAAGTAAATATATTAAAATCATCTTTAATTCAAATATAAATATGTAACTTTCAAGTCGATATATTAAATTATATTAATTTAGTTAAAATAATTTATTTAAATTACTATCAATTTGAGAAAAAAATTGTTGAATGATGGAGAAATTGATTAAAACCAAAAAAAAAATGGATAATGAAATGGGGACCATACCTATAAAAATGTGGCACTTGGTGATGACACGTGCATGCGGTGGCAACACTTCCAAAAGTTGAATACAACCCAAAGACATCAAGTAAAATAAAAGAGGACCACACCATGAACTGAACCTGCAATGTGCTGTCAGACCCAACCCACGCATGATAAGCCATCAGGATTCAAGATCATCAGCTTCGTCGCCTAACCCCAGCACAGCTATGCTTTCATCAACAGCTAGCTAAACTGAATTGGTAGCACAGGTGAAAGAACGCCTCTTGGGCTTAGCTTTAAGAAATAGGATTAGGTATTCAATCCCTGCAATGGCAGAGTAGTCCACTAGCATAAATGAACATCCATTATTCCCGGCACAGAGAAAGGATGATTGATGCAGGAGATGGCATCTTCATCTACGCAAAGAACTCTTCATATATATATATATAGAATAACATTTGCTGAGCGCAGCTACCCGTCTGAAGACTAAAGAAGAAGCTCTGGGTACGCAGATAGTCCAACCATTTTCAAGTCAAGAAATGCTTGTACGGTTTGCCCTCAGGTCTCCTATAAAGCTTTTAAATGGATTAGTTTATGCAGCAAAAGGAAGTGAGTCGCGTGTCTTTATCATAGACAGGGTTTAACTGCAAACTTGGCGATAAGACTGTCAAAGAAACATATATAAATATGTACCTATTCATTAGTTCATTAGTTTACCTTGCTTGGGGAATAAGAAATTAATGGCTGTCAAATCGCCATGAATTTTGGCAGCCGGCCGTGGCCCACACACGAATATCCCAGTAGAGCAGACGAGAGATTTGGAAGGAGCAAACAATGATTAATTCATTCGTTTATCTTGCTTGGGGAAAAGGAAAATGCGCCATGAATTTAGAAAAGTCTAAAGGTTGTTTGGCCCCGGCAAGTGGCACGCATACAAGTGTCCAAGAAGAGCAGCCCACGTTTAGAATTAGATCAAGTCAATTGTAATGTTCTCTAACGTCACGAAGATGGAAGAAGGATTGAACCTTGATTGAGCCTTGGAGTGCAAGAACCGATGAGAGGAGCAATCTCGTTATTTTCTCAGGGACTTCCGCCCTTTCTTAGACCGTCTTTAGCATAGAGGCAACACGCAAGACCGACTTTGGCAAAAAGCCACCATACGTCATACTTTAGGCTCCACAATTTTATAGATTTTATAATTTTATATAATATAATTAATTATATTAAAA